TGTGTGTGCACACATGAGCTATGAAGCAGGGCCTGGCCGCTTTGCCCTTGTCTGCCTCGTCTCTCCAGTTCCGAATGGTACTCCTAGGACACCCAGTCTCCTCGCACACCAGCCAAACGCTCCTTCTTGCCTGTCTAAAATCTGAATTCCAAGAGCGTGGCAGTGGGGGTGTTCCGAGGCCAGCTGCCCTGCAGAAGCCCGAGTGCTGACAGAAACCTTGCTGAGCAGCATCGGTTTTGTTTAACAGACTCAAAAACTTTTAAAAAATTATTTTTTGGAGAATTTTGTACGCAAGTGCTATGTTTACATAATTCCTACTCCTCCCTCCCCCCTTCCGTGTTCCTCTCACATTCATGACCTCTTCTCTTTTAATTGGTCCTGAAGCTGTGACCGGAAGCTCCCACAGGAAGCGCTCCGTGCCCAGCACTTGGGGCTGCGTTCCCTGGATTTCTGGGATCTAGATTTAGACACGTAGCCACAGCGCAGTTTTCTTTCTGGTCTTCCCCGACTCCCAGGCTTTGAAGATACAGTTGGGCCAGTTTCTGTTTTGGTTTCGTATTTATTTACTTACTTAGTTTTATTTTTAACAATCAGCGGAGTTTAACGCTGTACCCCATTTCCTCTCTCTATTTCTTGCTGTAAAAGGGGAAACACAGGAGGCTTGACGGATGCTCTGGTGCCGTGATTCCAACAAGCCAGTTAAAGTTGCTGCCAGAGGCTGGGGTGGCTCAGCGGGCAAGCGCTCAGGCTGCTCCCTCGGAGGACCTGGGCAGTTTCCAGCACCACACATCCGCTTAGAGCCACCTGGGCTCTTGTCCTGGGCTCCAGTGCCACCTCCTGGCATCATGGCACGTACAGGCGACGTACTCATGCACACAGGCAAGCCCTCATACGCTTAAAATAAAAGTAGGTAAAATTTTAACTTGTAGATAGCCAGTTATTTCTGCTTTCCAAATATGTCCCTGCGTGGATCCGCACAAGGTAAAGCCAGGGACTTAGGCTGGGAGAGGTGTCCGGCAGGGCACTGGGGCGTGCCGACTGCCCTGGTTGGGGAGCTGGGCTTGGTTCCTGCTCACACCCGGCAGCCCACCACTGCCTGGCCTCCAGGTCACCAAGGCGCTGTGGCACTAACTTACTCTGAAGGCGGGGACGCTGGGGGAGGAGATGGGGCCACCTCCTGACTGCTGCTTTGGGCTGATGCAGAAGGAGAGTAATAAAGAACAGCATCTGTGGTGACACTGAGTCCAGGATGAGCTTTTGGGGCTCCTCGCACAGACCTTCCTCAGACAGACAGTGGAGCTGTGAAGCCTCCTTATTCTTCATGCTAATCCCCGTGCCTCCTGGCAGGAGATGCTACCAGCTTTCTCAATTGTGGCCTTTCAGTGACAAAGTCCTCAGTGTGCAGTATTCAGACGCACAGTTGGACGCTTGCCTGTCTCCCCCCGTGCGAATTTTCTCAACTACTTTATAATTACAGCTGGCGTTAGTACTTAATGCCCAAAGCTAAGACAAGTTAAGTGAGAAGGCTGCAGTCTGCACTGGGTTAGCAGAGGCTGGTTAGCTTACGACGCCCCTGAGGCGTGCCTAGGAGGTGAGGTGACACAGAGGGAGGGCTGTCCCTCTCTTGACTAGAATTTTGGTGGGAAATCTTCACAGTGATAAGGCCAATGGACCTAAAACAGTTGCTCAAAGGAGATAGCGTAAGAAATCTAATGGGTATATTTAGTTCAAAATCCACTGAACTGTGGGCAACAGAGCCAGCCTTTCCCCAGGGCTGGGCGCTCCAGTTGGTTGTCCAGCACAAAGAGGCCAGCCCTGAGGCCGAGTGCACACAGCGAGACCGTGTCTGGATGTAGCTGGATGTGTTTATGTGTTTGTGCACAGATGTACATACATCTGGAAGCGACTGTAGCGACTGGAGAAGAGGCAGCAGAGGCCATCAGCTTGAGAGTGGGGGTCCTAGGAGCTGGAAGGCAGGTTCTGGAGGGAGGAAAGGCAAGGGGGAGGGCTGTGATTGTATTTAAGTTAAAACAAACCACTGAAAGGAAGGAATGTGAGGGTGGGGAGGCTCCCGGTGAAGGCCTATTGCTGAAGGGTCGGGTCTGCTCTCGCGCGCGTGCGTGTGCGTGTGTGCGTGTGCGTGTGTGCGTGTGTGCGTGTGCGTGTGCGTGTGTGTGTGTGTGTGTGTGTGTCAGGTGGAGGCAGGGCGAGCCTGGGCCCTGCAGCCAGCTAAGCAAACCAATGAACTTCAGGTTCAGCGAGAGACGATGTCTCGAAAACACATTGGAATGACGTGGGGGGACGACATTTGATTCTCTTCCACACTTCACAGACCAGACTGAAACATGCATGCTTGTGTACCCCTCCCCCAGCCCCCCAGGAGAAGTGAAAGCCAGATACAGAGGAGATGATGAGCACATGAATTACAGGATTTAGTTACGGAGGGTCTCCAGGGATGGTGTTTTCCTGACGTGTCTCCAGGGGTGGAAGGTTATACAGTCTTGGAGGGAATAAGGAAAGCCCTGCTGGGCTGGAGGTTCTCCATCAACTTGACATAGGCCATTCTCAGAGGAGAGAACCCCAGTGAGGAAGCGCCTCCAGAAGACCAGGCTGTGGGCAAGCATTTTCTTAGTTCCTGATTGATGGGGGAGGGCCCAGCCCATTTTGGGTGGTGCCACCCCTGGGCTGGGGGTCCTGGCTCCTATAAGAAAGCAGGTTTAGCCAGCCAGTATGCAGCCCCTCATGGCCTCTACATCAGCTCCTGCTCCAGGTTCCTGTCCTGACTTCCCTCAGTGATGAACAGTGCTGTGGAAGTGTAGGCGAACAAACCCTTTCCTCCCTGGTGCCTTTGGTCCTGGTGCTTCATCACAGCAGTAGTGACCCTGACTAAGCTCCGCTAACCCTAAGCAAGCACAGACTGATTGCAAAGAAGGAGGAAGGTCTGGGGCTGGTGTGCACTGGCACAGTGACTGGTGGGGCTGACAGTGGTGACTGCTGCCTTACATCCCTGCTCCCACTTCAGGAGGTTTCAGCCCTGGCTGGCACAGGAGCGAACTTGCCTTCAGCAGCTGAGAAGTAGGAAGAGCAACAGGAAGAGCCATGTGTCTGTGTGTCCTGAGGCTAACAGCAGCAGTTTCCAAGTCTCTGTGAAGGCTGCTTTGAAAGGACAGCCAGCTGGTGTTTCTTGTTTTCTTTCCGAACCAGGGGAACTGTTTGGTATCAGCTTAGAGGAATAGCATCTTACAGATGAAAAAAAACCAGTGAGCAGCAGAGAGGAGTTCAGGCAGGGGCAAGCTCTGACCAGAGGGACGCCAGCACGTTCCTTCTCCTTGCCTTCCTCAGATGTGAAATTCTAAAATGAGGAGTACAACCTCAGAGAAGACTTTACCATTCCTTTCCCCTGTGGCCCTCTGGAGTCTTTAACTCTTTCCATGCTGCAGCTCACCTCTAGTTCTGTCAAATTACAACGTGAGGCACTGCAGTGCTCCTCCTAATTCCAGCCTGTGGGAGGGAGGAGGATCAGGAGTTCAAGGCCAGCCTAGCCTGAGCTACCTGAGACCTGTCTCAACTCCCCCCACGACATAGATAAAAATTAAGAAATACATGTGTTCATATTTTTGTGTAGGGTATGGAGACCTTCAAATTAAGAGAAAAGGAAAAGCATGTAAACCCTTGTGCAGACAGTAGCAGTGGCTGAGAGCACAGGTCTTTTAGGAAGATGAGGCTGTAGCAGCCCGTCCCTCCTTCATCTTCCAGGGATGGCCTGCTGGTCACCCGTGTGAGCTCAGCAGTTTCTGCTCCCTCTTCTCCGTGCCCCTCCTACAGGGCTAGAATTTGAGACATTCTTCCACTTACAGAGGGTTAAGGCAGCCTGTTTTGAGCTTTTAGTTTTACTTTCAGAGAAAAACTGGAATGAAAGGACCCAGCTTGTAAATACGCTGTAACAGAGAGCGCTGGCCTGCACTGGGCTCACTGGGCAGAAGAGGCCTCTCTCTGCTCCTCACTGAGATCAGAAGAGTAAATTTGTGTTAAGAATTCCAGTCGGGCACAGCTGCGCATGCCTGTGTTCCCAGCACTCGGGAGGCAGAGACAGGTGGATCTCTGTGCGTCTGAGGCTAGCCTGGTCTACAAAGTGAGTCCAGGACAGCCAGGGCTACACAGAGAAAGCCTGTCTCAAGAAATTAAAAAAAAAAAAAAAAAGAATTCCAAGACCTCAAAATAAAAAAGAAATCAAGCCCTCTTGGCTTAAGGTGAGCCTATGCTCAGAGCTGCAGCCCAGAGCCTACACCTGACTCATGAGCAACATGAGATAAATCTGGGTGAGGACAGAAGTAGATTAGTTTTTAATTTTAATTTCAGTTTTTGTTTGTTGCTTGTTTTGGAGACGGTGTCTAACGTAAGCGCAGGTTCTTTTGGGTTCATTATGTAGGTAGGCCTTGGCTTCCTGGTTTCCCTGCCTCCACCTCCTACTGGGATGGTAGTACCAGGCATGACTTAGGAATGGTTGAAGGCCTCTTGAGCCCTTCCTTGATAGTCAGAGGTGTATCTGTGGAATGGCGGTGTTTTTTCTTGTTGATCACGTGTGTTCACCTGTAGCTGTTGGAAAAGGCTGGAAGGCCGGGGAAGGATCTTGCTTCTCAGCTCGCACCTTCCTGGCAGGTTGTAGGAGCACCTGAGCCTGGGCTGCCTCAGGACAGTTGCCTGCTTTAGCTTCCACGAGGTTGCGCCTATCCTGCCCGGCTTTCTGGAAACACACGTGGCTTCTCTCTGTGGTGACTGTGGGAAAGGCTCTGCAGCTGCCAGAGGTTTTTCTGGCCAGGGAACTTCTCCTGCCAACCATTTCCTCTAAGAATATCTACCTTTCATGTCTGCTCAGCCAGGAAGTGATAGTCTCGTGTTCTTTGCTGTTTTGAAGAAGGCAGTGTGGTTGAGGAAGGAGAGGGAGGGTTCTTAGCTCCAGACCTAGATACCCACCTAGATTTCATAGCACAGAAGTTTCTGGCTGCCTAACTCTGCCCTGTTCTGTCCGGGTACTTTCACTGGTGATTTTGGAGCTCTCCTTTGCCAGCCCTGTCTAGAATATACAATATCAAATATATGGTTCTCTCTGGGAGGAGATCAGGCTGCTCGTAAGTCTGTAGGCATTTCTTAATTAGTGATTGACTGGGAGGGCCTGGCCCAGCATGGCTGATGCCACCCCAGGAAGGAGGGCCCGAGTTGTAGAAGAAAGCAGGCTGAGCAAGCCAGAGGCAGCAGCTTCACAGGCCTCTGCATCAGCGCCTGCCTCGAGGTTCCTGCCCCGTTTGAGCTCCTGCCCTGACTTCCTTCAGTGATGGGCTGTGATGTGGAAGTGTGAGCCAAAGAACCCTTTCCTCCCCATGTTACTTTTGGTCAGAGTGTCTCATCACAGCAATTGTGATCTGACTGAGACAGCATCCAGAGTACTGGGTCCTGTGGCAGCTCCGTATATGTCTGCTGCCATCCATTCTGTCCCGGCCACTGCTCTCCCGTCTGTCCTTCCTGTCTCCCGCTCACCTTCTCTTCCTCCTCCACCCGCCTTATTAGTCCAGTCCTCCCCTTGCTAGGGTGAATGCACACATGGGAACAGACTGCGAATAGCAGTGTGCACACACACTCAGCTTTAATTTTCTTTAAGTTTTATTAAGTTATTTTATGTGTCTGAGTGTTTGCATGCATATATGTCTGTGTGCCACATATGTGCCTGGTGCCCTGGGAGGTCAAAGGAGGACTTTGAATTCCCTGGGATGGGAGTTATGGATGGTTGTGAGCGGCACGTGGGTGCTGGGAATCGGCCCTCCGTTCTCTGTCAAGAGCCAGTGCTCTTCATCACTGAGCCGTGTCTCCAGGCCCAGCCTGCTGGGGTTTCAGTATCAGTGGCTGAGTGTGTCTTATAACAGACCGACCGACATGCCTGCTTCCTGCCTCCCCTCCTTCCTTCCTTCCTTTCCTGGCTCAGTTCCATCTCGTTAAGTTGGTGAAGTGGTTGGTTTCTGCAAAGCTGTATCCGGAGCAGGGCAGCTCCTACATCGTGCTGGGTTCCCTAGGCTCCGGGTGGCGGAGACCCTGCTGTGGGAGCTCGCTGTGATGTGGGCATTTGCCTTCCTTCCCTTCTCTGCACGACTGTTCAGCCGACGGGGGAGCACACGGGGAGTGGGGCTCTCGTGTGTGATCTTTATGTGCCCTGCAGAGGGCTGAGGTTGTTACCGCTATGTTTTGAATTCTCATCTGTCTTGGCTTGTAAGAAGACCTGGCCTTCACTTCACGGCGTTTGTCTGAGTCTGATATTGTGACACACAGAGTTGCGTGAGGCCTTTCCAGTCCAGTGTCAGGAGCTCAAGTTGGATTGGGGGTGGCCCTAAGTGTTGCTCTCTTGACACAACTCAACTTCCTGTTTTTAGGAGGGTGCCATCTAAGGAAGTGTAGGGGCAGTTTCTGCATGCCTGGCAGCTCATGCCAAGCACGCTGAGTAACCAGCGTGAAGAGCACGCATGGAGATGCATGTAGTGGCCCAACCCCCAGCTCTCAGGAGGCAGAGACAGGTGGATCTCTGTGAGTTCGAGGCCAGCCTGGTCTACAGAGCGAGATCCAGGATCATGCTGGTTGATGTTTGGATTTTTATCCAAAGTGAATGAAATCGGTGCATTTGGAAGATCCTGGTTAATACCAGAACGAAGAGGGAAAGATGAGCTGGGCTCGGAGAATGCACATCTGACCCCACACATCCTCATACTATAGTCGGGGCAGCGGTGCCAGCCAGGCCCACCGCTCTGCCCGTGAGGGGGCAGGTCCTGGGGCTCAGCTAGACCTCTGTGAGCAGAGTGTGCACCCTAGGACACCGCAAAGCCTTCGAGAGGTTCCACATGCATCGTTGTAACATACAAGGCAGATATTAGGCGCTGGCTGAGCAGCTGTTGTGTGAGGCTTTCTTTCGGAAGCAGGGTGTGTGGTGGAGGGTAAAACAGGCTCGGAGTGGGCCAGAAACGGTGGCTGAAGGCGGGTCACCCTCCTTCAATTCCAGCAGGTCTGTAGTCTCACTCTTGTTCTGCAAGATGGTGGGTGACCAAGGTTAAGACGAGAGTGACTGTTCGCCGACGCCCACGTCATGACTCCAGTGTGTGGGTGCGCCATTGCCCCGTGCCTACACACTCAACGCCTAAGAGCGGAAGTGCGACAATCGCAAAAGCTGGCACTCATCTGACCTTGCTTCCGCCCTTCTTCCCCCGACTGTAGCCCTGGAACTCACTCTGTAGACCAGGCTGTTCTCAGACTCACAGAGACCCACCTGCCTCCGCCTCCCATGCTCTGAGATTGAAAGCGTGCATGGCTATACCCAGCCCCTGACCACTCTTAACATTTTGCTGTGTTTCATTAAAAATTATTCATCGTGTATGTGTGTGTGTGTGTGTGTGTGTGTATCTGTAGCAAGTGCATGCAGGAGCCCTATGTGACAAAGAGGGCGGTGGCAGATTGGTGGTAGCCTGAGCTGGAGTCACAGATGGAGCTGCCGAGTGGGCGATCAAAGGCAGGTCCACAGGAGAGGAAGCTCATTCATCCACGGCTGCTTCTCTAGCTTCTGTGTTTTTACGTGTGTGCATGCACTTTTAAACGATTCATTCTTTGGCAATGTATGTGCAGCCCTTGGCTGCTCCCCTCGAGCCCCTGTCCCTGTTTTTTTCTGCCCAGTGTCGTTCCTTGTCCATCCTGTTGTGCACTGAGCCAATCAGTGTTGCCTGTGTGCAAGACTGGGCTGCGCACTAGGGCTGCACCTCTGTTTCTCAGCATTGGCCACCTGCCAGAAGCAATCAGGGAAGGATGGGGCCCTCGAGCCCCCCCCATCTTTGGAGGAGTATCTGCAGGTTTGCTCCTAAGCCTGTTATTTTAGATATACACAAGCAACCCTGCTGGTCGGTCAGTGCCTGTCTCCACAGCAGCCCAGAGGTCGGGGCATTTCCTGTACAGGGTTTAGCTAGCTCCGCTGCGCTTGGGGGTTGCCAAGGCCATGGCTGACAAGTTTCCCAACTTAATATGTCCTGGGCTTGCCACAACTGGATCTTCCCATGAATCTAGGACTCTCAAGAAGTTTCTGAGTATTCGGACTGTAAATAGCCCCAGTGTCCTGTGCAGTTTGTGAGCGTACACATTTCCCCAGTGCCCTGCGTGGTCCTGAGTGCGATGGTGTTAACAGTGTGCGCTCTCTCCCTCCAGGCTTGTCGATGACCGGTGCGTGGTACACCCAGAGGCCGGGGACCTCGCCAACCCACCCAAGAAGTTCAGAGGTAAGAACAAAAATTGCGGTGGTTTGACCCAAAAGCGCAGATTTTTTTTGTCTTAAAATAAGTAATGTTAAACTTTCACTCAGTGTGTCATTGAAAATCATTTCCAGAGTCCCTGTAGGCTTTGTTGTTGTTGAACTTGGAGGGGTCTATGATGAAGAATTGTCTGGTTTTGTTTTGCAGTGTGATACTGTGCACTGACAGGGAACTCTGGTAATTACAGTGGAAGATGAAAACATTCTGGTGGCCATCAGACCATAGCGTTACACTGTTGTACTGTTGGCTTGTCAGTCATCTTTATGGAAGTCCTGTGTTGTATGGCTCTTAGCATCACTCCCTGGTGACATGAAGTGACTCACTCTCGTCCTAGAGCCTCGCCTCCTGGCCGAGGAACCTGTCGCAGCAGCAGGTTGTTCATAACTGTAGAACATTCTCGAACACAAAAAGCAGCAACAGCATACAAACGTACAGGCAGCATCACAACAGCCTACAAACACCATCACAACAACATGCAAACATACAGGCAGCATCACACAACATACAAGCAGCATCACAACAACATACAAACATACAGGCAGCATCACAAC